TTGTACATTTGCTGTTATATTAAAGGTTTTCTTCATTACCCATTCAAGCCGTCTCCAGCCATTATAGGACATTATGTTCTTTGTGCATGTTATTACTTCATGTTCTTATTTACAAATTTGAAATAAAAACAAGAAATTCAGCATGTATCTCTAACCTTGTTTTGTTGTTGTTGTTGTTGTCAGTCCTAATGAAATTTTACCCTAAATTTGTGTAGTGATTGTAGCAGTACATAAATTAATTTATATTTATGTCTACTTCTTATTTATTGTTTTAAAAGTAAAGTATAAAACATAAATGAACAAAATGTTAAATAAAAATATTTCTTGGCAAGGCTTGCATGCAAGCTGCTTATAAATTATGTAGCTCATTTACATAACTTTAGCTAGATGCTCTCCATGTGATTTAGCTTTTATTTTTATGGAAGGTTAATAGTTAAGACATGGTTCAATAAGCGATAAAATTGAATCAAAACAGTTGTGAAAATGATAGAAGACTGAAGGTTTTAGGATATATAATTGTAATTGTCTTTTATAATCTGCACTCATTCTAGAAAGTGAAAAGAGTATTTTATATTTATTTCATATTTTTGTGGTATGGTTATGAAGTTGGTCAAATGGACTGAACCAACATAGTGTTAGGGTAGAGCAAATATGAGATAAAACATTTTATTGAAAAAATATGATTGATGAGGTTTTAGAGGTTATGCAGATAAAATTTGAAAAGTGTAAGATGAAAAAAGTATTTTGATTTTTAGCATTAAAATCACCTTGCATTTAGACTAATCAGAGTGACACTGACTAAACTAAAATAGAGATAAATCTTTCATAGAAATACTTTATCAAACATTTTGATTTTTTGTGTTTAGCATACTTTTAAAAGCTTACCAAATTTTGTGAAGATAAACTAAGCAAATTCAGAATTACAGTAAGCATTAATTCTTCAATAAGGGCTCAGTTCACTGTACCGACTCTGCATACATAAGGTTAAAGTCTCAGTTCACTGTACCGACCCTGCATACATAAGGTTAAAGTCTCAGTTCACTGTACCAACCCTGCATACATAAGGTTAAAGTCTCAGTTCACTGTACCAACCCTGCATACATAAGGTTAAAATCTCAGTTCAATGTACTGACCCTGCATACATAAAGATAAAGTCTCAGTTCACTGTACCGACCCTGCATACATAAGGTTAAAGTCTCAGTTCACTGTACCAACCCTGCATACATAAGGTTAAAGTCTCAGTTCACTGTACCGACCCTGCATACATAAGGTTAAAGTCTCAGTTCACTGTACCGACCCTGCATACATAAAGTTAAAGTCTCAGTTCACTGTACTGACCCTGCTTACATAAAGTTAAAGTCTCAGTTCATGTACCGACCCTGCATACATAAAGTTAAAGTCTCAGTTCACTGTACCGACCCTGCATACATAAAGTTAAAGTCTCGGTTCACTGTACCAACCCTGCATACATAAGGTTAAAGTCTCAGCTGACAAGTGATGATGTAATATGATTTGTTTATAAATAGCTGGCTCTAAAATCATATATCAAAACATACAAACAAACATAAAAGCTTACATCCTGCATCATTAATTGACTTTTATTGATAGGTTTATTTTTGAGCCTTGCAGAAAACATCCAGTACATCTCTTCAAAAAAATATACTTCAGTACTGAGAGTGTTGTATAATTCAATCTAAACTTGTATTTAATCTAGAAATTAGCCTAAAATTTAATAAAAGCCCTTTAAAAGAAGATCTTTCCCTTGTAAAACTGATATGGGTGCAATTACAGTGTGTTGAACAGCCTACTTAGTCAATGAATAGAAGGTTGATAAAAGTACATAGAAATGTATACATTTATTTTGTTTTTAAATACTGTGGAGTGTCAATCTGACAAAAAAAAATGGGGAATTTTGCCAAAAGTGTTACTGGTCATTATTTGACTATTTAAGATGGGAAAAGGTTATAAATATACTGTTATCAGATGAAATGAACATATGGTTAATAAGTTTACATTTAATAAGATGTTGTGTGACTGCATAAGGGATAAGAAATTGAGAACTGAAAACATGAAAGTGATATGTACATTGTTTTAACTTACAAAGTGTTATAACTATTACGTCCAAGATACCTTACACATTCTGAATACTCGTTACTATCGTCTATCACCTATATTCCAGAAATTGATGTCTTATTACAATGTTTCATGTTCCAGTATGGCATAGGTAGATGTAAGTGTATCTTAAACCGACTCTTCTGGAATGGAGCCAGTTAACTTCCTGTTAGTGGTTTTGAAACTCGTATTACATACAGATACTAAAAATGATAGATGAAAAGATTTGAGCAACTTGTGTAAAGGGAGAATGAAATTAATTCATGTCTTGGCAAGAACCTATCTTGTTTTGTTTGTTTCATTACAGCTTTAAATGTGGAACTGATTACCATGCCCCAACAGACTGTGAAACAATTAAGAGATGGCTTACGAAATGTGCAGATGATTCGGAAACAGCAAACTATATTTCTGCTCATACCAAAGATGTAAGAATGGAGTTTTTATATATATAATATTTTAACTTTGAACTACAACATCAGGAGGTATGGCATTTTACTTATTTTGGGAGCAAATTTGTCATAATATGTTTAAAATGGGTTTGTGTCAGCTTCTGTAATTATTTTGTTTAAAGTGGGTTTGTGTCAGCTTCTGTAATTATTTTGTTTAAAGTGGGTTTGTGTCAGCTTCTGTAATTATTTTGTTTAAATTGGGTTTGTGTCAGCTTCTGTAATTATTTTGTTTAAAGTGGGTTTGTGTCAGCTTCTGTAATTATTTTGTTTAAAGTGGGTTTGTGTCAGCTTCTGTAATTATTTTGTTTAAAGTGGGTTTGTGTCAGCTTCTGTACACCTATTAACATATTTTTATATTCAACCACCACCTGTTGGTGTGAGTTTAACTTTGACTTTTTTTTTCCATTTTCTTTCATAACTTTCAAATCTAATTATGAAAGGCTTTATTATTTTTGTACTACATTGTAGTTCTAAGTTCTATGTAGAAATTCCCAAAAGTGGACATTTTTTCTTATTCATATAGTTTATTAATAATAGCAGCATTGTATGATTTAATTGGATAACATTTACTTAAACTTATTTAAACATTCAGATCAAACGTGAACCTGGTTAGCTATGAAATAATACTGTACTCTAAATTGGAATGTCAATGGCAAGTCTGCAGGCTTACAGCACTAAAAATTAGGTTTCAATACCCATTGTGAGCAGAGCACAGATAATATTTTGTGTAGCTTTGTGCTTAACAACAACCAAGCTCAACCAAACCAAATCTAAATTGGTAGATTACCGATTTGAAATCAGGTGTATAAAAGCAAACCAAGCTCAAACCAAATCTAAATTGGTAGATTACCGATTTGAAATCAGGTGTATAAAAGCAAACCAAGCTCAACCAAACCAAATCTAAATTGGTAAATTACCGATTTGAATCATATTTTTTAACGTTCACAATGCTGCTAGTAGAGCCTTTTCTTTTACTATAAGAACACTATTTTATATACAGAAAAACATTTTTAAATACTGAAAGTCATTAAAGCACCAAAAACAAGTGGACCTACAGGACAAATAGACCTGGTAGTTGTTATAAAAAGCCCATGAAACTGCAGATGCTATGTTTTCTCATTCCATGTGCTTCTTCCATTATGGGTTTAAAATTAAGGTTTTTTTAAAAATAATATTTTTAGTTTATATTTTTTTTTCCAAATGTTGAGTCACCAGAAGTCATCAGCTGGGCTGTTGAAATTGGCAGACAAAAATCTATCCAGCATGCTGTAATGTGTTAGAGTTTTAATTCCAAAGCCATAAAGGCAGTGAAAACCAATGGACCTAATGATATAGATATAAATCGTTGTAATAGTAACAAATCAAAAATAAAAGTTACCAAATAATATCAATTCATCCAAGTTAACATCAATATATCTTAGTAAATAAAAACAAAAACTACTTTTGTTGCCTTTATTATAAGCTTTGAAAACAACTTTTGGTGCCTTTACTATAAGCTTTGAAAACTACTTTTGTTGCCTTTATTATAAGCTTTGAAAACTACTTTTGGTGCCTTTGTTATAAGCTTTGAAAACAACTTTTGGTGCCTTTGTTATAAGCTTTGAAAACAACTTTTGTTGCCTTTATTATAAGCTTTGAAAACTACTTTTTTGCCTTTATTATAAGCTTTGAAAACTACTTTTGGTGCCTTTATTATAAGCTTTGAAAACTACTTTTGGTGCCTTTATTATAAGCTTTGAAAACTACTTTTGTTGCCTTTATTATAAGCTTTGAAAACTTTTTGTTTTTAATTTTTTGGAGTGAAAGATGAGACTTACGTGTATCATTTTGGATGGGTTAGCAACTAAATAGCCATTGTTATGATCATACAACAGTACCATGAAATATACTTTATGTAATATTTATGACAAAAACCTCTTCTATGTTTTCAGTGTCCCAAGTGCCACATATGTATTGAAAAAAATGGTGGCTGTAATCATATGGTAAGAATGGATTTCTGGCTTTTTTCATGTAATGCATTAGTAAACACTGTTCTTTACTTTCTAAAGAAAGAGCTCTAAGTATGACCTATATGTGACTTCTGTTAATATCATTGTTAGTTTTGCTGTTGTGTTATTAATTTGTATCATCAGGTTTTAAAAATGGGAATTTAAGGTAAAATAGTGGAAGTAAAGTCAGTTTGACATTTGTATAATTACACATTCATCATTAAAACAGAATGCCAGTACACGGACATTAAAGTATCACTAATATTATGTATCAAAAATGTGCCTCCAAGTTCTCGTGAGGTGCTGTGTGCAAGTTGATCTAAACCAACTTGTTTAAGCTGTGTGTGTATTAATAGTATTTGGCATATTCCTGGTGTATAATTACACATTCATCATTAAAACAGAATGCCAGTACACGGACATTAAAGTATCGCTAATATTATGTATCAAAAATGTGCCTCCAAGTTCTCGTGAGGTGCTGTGTACAAGTTGATCTGAACCAACTTGTTTAAGCTGTGTGTGTATTAATAGTATTTGGCATATTCCTGGTAATGAGAGCTGAAACCTGGCACTGAACGTGTTCACCATTTCAAACATGGGAGCATCATAAAATTAAATCTCACTGTTCACTGGTAAAAGAGTAGTCCAGAAGTTGATAGTGAATGTTGCTGCCCAGATGTCTTCCCTGAGGTTGGCGGGTCAAGATTAAGGATGGCAGTAGATAGCCTTAGTACATTTGCCATAAACAAACTTTTAATTATTTTACATATTACCTTGCAGTTGATATCACATTGAAAGTTCATATTCGAAAATATTTTACTGTAAATATTTATTTTTTTTACTAATATTATAAAATGGAATTTTTTTGCAGCACACTGCAAGCTCAGGTAATACACACTAGTGTGCCACTCTTTCCAAAACATTGTATGTAAGCTCATATATAAGGTTCAGATTGATCTAAACCAGCATAACAACAATGAGATCCAACCAACATATGACAGAAACCTTGGATATCATAACTGTTAAAACACTTAGTAAACATTTAAAAGAAAATGTTAAGTACTATCTTATTTTGTAATTTTTCTCAAATTTCCATGCACTACATTTTACAAGCTAGATTTAGAAAAGGAATTCTTACAGAAATTTACCCTTCTTATTTCAAAGCTTTAGTGTTCTTAAAATGTTGTTTTTGCACTTAAACTATAATTTTGTAGACCACAGTTAATATTTTGAATACCAAATTGTTTTGATAGAGTTTCTTAGTGCAGTTATAGCACTACATTGTTTTTGTACAATTCCTTCCTGTAAATTTAGCACCACATTATTTTGATAGTTTCTCAGTGCAGTTGATATTTTGATTCAAAGAAAATTTTTAAGTATACGATTATTTTAAAATGCTATAAATAACAGACTAATGAAAAGAATAAAATTTTGAAGTGTCTATCTTACAAACTGTACTTGATTTCTTATGTACTGAGTTATGAAAAAATATTTTTTTTAATTATCCTATTTACACAAAAGAAAATTTATGTATTCTTTGAATAATTAGCTTCCTAAATACTGTATATTATATACATCTTTTTTTGCATGTATTTTGATTGGTAGCCTAGAATGTTTATTGACAAATTACATAATCTAAGTTTGAGATCTTATTCTCATTGATAACAATTTATATCCTTTCAGCAATGTTATAATTGCAAATATGATTTCTGTTGGATGTGTCTAGGAGGTGAGTTGTTTTTGTTAAATACATAGTAATAAACTATTTGGTGTTTGATATGTCTGTTTGTTCATGAGAATTTTATGAACCCGAAAGTTACAAACACATAATGTCAGGTTGTATGTATGGGCTGGATTCTTTACAGTAGGTGTCTGTGTCTTGTTGGTGATAAATTTCAACAATAAACAAATAGCACACAGTCCACTTGTTTTAAAATATTATATTAAAACAAGGCAAATGTATATACAAATGTTTATGACATTGTTGGTTATCACTGTTGTATCCAGAGCTTTAAATAAGTATCTCTTTTTTTTGTCAAAGCCCATACAGGCTGGTTCAGTTACTTTAGAACACAAGTGACAAAACAAATTATTCTTCCTTACTCTGTTATTACAATACAATCTGTGATAATTTCACTTTAGACATAGTCACTATACACTTTTTATAGCTAAATTCACAATCACACATTCTAGACCTATCTAACTATCTCTATAAATATCTCAAACAACATTTTGGGTGCATATGTATAGCCTGACTGAGACTTAGAATGTTCCACACACTATGAGATATTATGATGCAATAATGAAATTGACGAGGTTCTAGTAACATGACATAAAAATATAACAATCACCCATTCATAACTAGTGAACAACACAATGTGTGATTCATGAACAGTTACGTAAACAAACTTGTGATAAACCATCGCTTCTAAAATAACTAAATTTAACATTCATGCTATTCTTAAATTGAAACAGTATAATTAACATATAAGCTAGTTATATGAATCTTTCTTTTGTTATAATATATTTTTATTATATATAGTTTTGTACTGTCTTTGGTTTTATGTTTAAATGATGTTACTCAAGTCAATTAATTATATATGTGATTTACATAATATAATACCTGCAACCATATGTATAATGCAGTATGGGAAATAGTTTTGTTGATTTTCAATTTAGACATATTTTAACTTTCTTGTCTAAGTCATGTAGGTATTCTGTGATATTGTGGTGTAATCTCTTTTTTTTTGTAGACTGGAAGACACATGGTAGTGAATATTACGAGTGCAGTAGGTATAAAGAAAATCCCAACATTGCCAATGAATCAGCTCATGCTCAAGCCCGTGAAGCTCTCAAAAAATACTTGTTTTATTTTGAGAGGGTGAGTTTTGGATAAAGTTCTGTTCTTTTTAAAAACTAGTAACTGGTGAATTAATGTAATTTGTTTGAAATGTTAATACGAGAACTTTTCAGGAGTAAACATAGGACTGGAAACCTCTGCTTAGGAAGTCTTTTTTCTATGTAAGTGTGCAACAAAGCTAGTATGTAACACTGCCTTGCTGTATTCTTTTCACTTGTAGTTCAACAATTGGCTTTTTATCACTGGACTAGTGTGTTGAGTTATTACTTTAAATTAGTTATACCTCTGTTTTATAGTGAGGTGTTTCTTTAGATTGATTTTAAAAAATGGCATATTTTGAAATAAGAAAAAAGTTGTCTATACTTCTTCATAAGACAGATTTTTAAGTGAGAATTATATTTGTTATCCTAAGTAAGATTCAAAATACTTAAGCCTATTGTAGTTTTGTAAACCTATTACTTACAGAGAAAACAAATACTGACTTTTACAAAAACGTGAGTTTTGAATGAGTAGTAGGACAACATATTTTCAAAACAAAGAACCAATGTAACTACGTACGTTTATTGTTTGTGTTTGGTATTGTACTCAAACGTTACAGATAAATACAGTAAAATAAGTTACTTTATGTACAGTTTCAATATTTACTGTTTTAAATACTTGTGGTGCAGAAAATATTGTAGAGTTCAGATTTTTTTTGTTATATCTATCCTTGTGACAGAAAAAGCCATTTTGCAGTATATTACCAAAGTGCTTGAATTCTGTTTGTTTCCTGTGTAACAACATCCCACATTACATGTGCCAAAACAGAATTGATAACAACAGGTCTATTAGGGTGACCCAAAATTTTGTAAAATACTTAATTCTTTTTGTAATTTTAGTGTCCTGAAGATATACTTCCAGCAAGCTCTCCACTCTTAAAACTATGTTTTATAGACAAATGTCTGTTTTCAAATTTATCCATGTAAATTAGAAGGTACCAGGACTGCATAGAGAGTTAACATCATTGAAATTTAAGAACTTTTGCTCATAATGTAATTATATAAATCTTATCTTGGCTCATATTATAAAAGAAAATTTTCCTGTGAAGGTTTTTTTTTAACTTTAAAAAACAATTAGCAAAATTTTTAGTTTTTCTATTTTCACTTTGTCGTCTAAGACCACAGTTCATCTCTGCCTTCATTTACAGTAGCATATGAGACTGTAGTTTTGTGTAACATGCTTTTCTTTGTTAGAGTAATATTAGATTTGTAGGTCAGAAACTTTTTTATAGATAAAAACCAGCCCTTTAAACAAACTACGTTTGTCAAGGTTTATATGGGTCTTTAAAAACCTTGAAAGTTCTTGTAAATGAGAAATTTTCAAAAATGAATAAATTGTGTGACATATTTCAGATGCAAATTTGAGTGGATTTGTAGTGTTACTGTATATCAAAATATTTTTTGATCTTTATATTATTTTTTACATTTAGTTTGTGACTGCTAGAAATCTTGACTTTAAATTGTTAATAATTTTTCAACAAAGGATTTGTGTAGTAATTTGCACTAGGCTGGCTACTGTTGTATTCGACAGGGTAGTTCACTGGCTATCAGTTGAATCACGCAAATGTAAAATGACTCCTGAAACATTACAGTCACGACTACCACTTCTTCACTACCCCTCATGTACTCTGACTTTATCTGATGTTTAACTGTTGCTACTGATTTTACGTTGTAACCATCCGTTTTACAGTTTATGGTCTTATGCAGACTATTTTAGATATTAGACCAAACGTATTGTGATAAGAATAAACCAAGCATCAAAAATATTATATCCTGTGATGTAAATGACTGTTAAATATGCATTCGGCCTACTGCTCTAACTTCCAGCTTTATCTAAATAATGTGGGGATTTGTGGGTCATGTAAAATAGTTTTAAAAGACAGACAATCAGTAATACTAGAAGAATACATTACATGTAGAAACAACTTATAAGAGAGAGTGATAGTCATTTAGAATGGGTTGTGACATACTGCTGAAGTAAATTATAAAGTCATAATAGTTAAGAAAAATGCAAACATATTAAAAGGTTTTTTAAAGTTCAAATATTTAGTGAAAACTTTAGTTAAGGATGGGAATAAACTGATCTATTTTTAGGCCAGGGTTAAGAAGTTCCTAAGGATATAAGAACCAGTGTGAAATGAATTCCAGAGTTTTCACCCGTAGGAATCATAATTTTGGGTTTGGTAGCTTGAACACGTACAGTTGCCGTAGAAAGATAAATTGAGATTAAAAACTGCTATTTGAGCATTCCTGTAGTTTTCGAATTTTTAAAGGATGAATGAGGATGTTAGTGAAGCTTTATTCTATACTATCTGGTGTATATACGTCTGAATGAAGTTTTTCTTCCTCAAGCTGTGTCAAGGATAATCAGAATTATTCTCAAGCTGAGCCAGGTGTATGTTAGGGATAAACAGCTTTAATCTGAAGCTGATGACAGTGTGCCAGGGATTAATTATTGTTATTCTCAGTCAAGTTCAAGTATGTATGTATGTCGGGTTAAATTGCTTTAATTTCAAACTGAGTCAAACATGTCATAGATAATCGGCTTTAATCCCAATCTGGGGTAAGTGTGTCAGGAATAAGTAGCTTTATCCTCAAGCTGATGTAGGCGTGTCAAATTGAACTTAGTGTGTTATATATCATCAATTTTATCCTCAGTCTGAAATGTGTCGGAGATAATCAGTTTTATTATTAAGCTGAAACTAATTGAATATGCATATATTGGGCCACCTAGTTTCAACTACCCATGAAGGAAAGGGCTTACATGTATTGGACCACCTAGTTTCAACTACCCGTGAAGGAATGGGCTTGGATAGTTGAAACTAGGTGGTCCAATACATATAAGCCCATTCCTTCACGGGTAGTTGAAACTAGGTGATCTTATACATGTAAGCCCTTTCCTTCGCGGGTAGTTGAAACTAGGTGATCTTATACATGTAAGCCCATTCCTTCACGGGCAGTTGAAACTAGGTGGTCTAATACATGTAAGCCCTTTCCTTCACGGGTAGTTGAAACTAGGTGGTTGAATACATGTAAGCCCTTTCCTTCACGGGTAGTTGAAACTAAGTGGTCTAATACATGTAAGCCCATTCCTTCACGGGTAGTTGAAACTAGGTGGTCTAATACATGTAAGTCCTTTCCTTCACGGGTAGTTGAAACTAGGTGGTCTAATACATGTAAGTCCTTTCCTTCACGGGTAGTTGAAACTAGGTGGTCTAATACATGTATGAAGGAATGGGCTTGCATGTATTGGACCACCTAGTTTCAACTACCCATGAAGGAATGGGCTTGCATGTATTTCCAGTGATCAATATTACACTTTCTGTTCAGTTTTTTACTATTCTAATAAGGTACAGGTTAGTAATGTTTATCTTGAGGCTTAGAATTCCCAACTATTCCTTTACTATACAGAACTGCTTTTTATACCAAAACATTTCTTTTAGTAAGTGGTATCACGCAAGTGCATGTACGTATTTTTTATCAGTGGGAAAACCATGCTAAAAGTCTGAGGCTGGAAGAACAAACTCTTCAAAAGATCAAAGACAGAACCCATCAAAAGGTTATGGCTAATGAGGGGACCTGGATAGACTGGCAGTATTTACTGGATGCTGCTGCGCTTCTGGCAAAGGTATGTTTATTATAATACATTGTTCTAACATAGTTGCATATTCAGTATGTGTAACTGTAGTTAATAGCTTAACCCTGTCAATTTGACTGACCTTGTAACCACCATATAACTGTATAAACAATAACTCTGAATACACTGTTAAAGTGTAAGTAGCTTCATGAAACTCGGTATGCATTTAGTAAACATTATAACGACAATGTACACAAAAAAAATTAGATTTTTTTTAATGAAGTATTTCCACTAAAGATGGATTTATGAAAATTTTCTGTCAGTCTGGGTGGAAGGTGGTTTTCATTCTTTCCAGATTACAGTTTTCATATTTCATTTATCTTACCTCTAGAACCAATTGAATGAATATCAAAGGTTTGTTTTGCTTTAACTTTATAATTTATTATTTATTTTTTCTACTCAGACATTAACTGTAGCAAAATCATTATTGTAAAGTGAACTGAAAAAATTGAAAAATATGATATAAAATCAAAATTACCTTTTTTTTAAGGATGACCATAGATTGTAGCAGACAATTACAATTATTTATCCTAACACCTTCAGGCCTTTTAGCTTTTTAAAACCACATTTATTTAATTTCATTGTTCTTTGTACTGTATCTAGCTTAGGGTAAACAAACTATCAAGTTACATCACGTGGCAGCAGCCCGCATACATTCCTTGAAGAAAGATTGTGAGAAATTGTATTTCATTTTTTTTCCATTTAACTTTTCTTCATAACTAATATGTTTCTAGTTTTTAAATTATATTTACTGTTGTTAAAAAAAATATAACATTAAATAAAAAATATACATAAAAAAAACAAAGGATTTAGCCTTGAGCCACTTTGCACTTTATATCTAAAGATACAAAGAAATGATGAAATTCACTGAGAGGGAAAGAGGAATATGATGTGCAAGTTTCAACCGTATGACTTTTTCCATGACCTAGAGGAAAGTAGGAGGGTGTATTAAATTTATAGATGTTGATAGCAAAGCCAAATAGAGGTTGTGAGAATGCAAAGTTATCAGAATACGGGACTGAAAAAAATTTTAGTTGGCAGAACTTGGCTTAAAGAATTTTATGAAATGTTTATTTTTCATCTATCATTATAGTTGCATTAGATTATTAGATTTAAAAGATATCATTTTAAAAGTTAATAGAGATTGTTTAAAACAAAACTGAGGTGAAAGGTCAAGTTGTATACTGTATACCATAGTTCTGTTTTAACGAGTAGCTTTTGTTACTGTCGTTTATTGCAGGTGAAAAATAAATTTATGAGTACTGTTTACTATGCCTTTACTAAACTGGATATAATAAATAAACTTAGTATTCCGAGAATTTTCAATCTCGGAGTCCAAGTTCAAGGGAGGTTCAGTTCAGTTTACACTTTGATCAAATTGTGTTATACAAGTTCGGAGAATTCCACTCCTCATCAGTAACCCTGAACACGAGTTAACCAAAGAAAGATAAACTGGACCTATATCATAGTGAAAAGTATCAACCATATTGTTGGTGCGAATGTGTTTTTCTTCACTTCACCTACCCAGTGTATAGGTTTTTTTCATAGTGACTACAAAGCACATTCAAATCAACAACATGGTTAAACTGGATAAGTTTTATTATCAGTAACGTATTTAGCTGTACACTATAGAATTAAATCTGACTACTATGTTTGTTTTAAATAATTCTGTTTCTCTTAATATAGACTTGAATCTGACACATGGTTATGAAAATTGCTAGTTTAATCCTTTTCACTCTACAATAGCAAAGCCACTCATAACCAATACTTTTTTGCTACATTATACTGTACTTTACTATAACAGTGCCACTCTGTACCTTTAATTTTTGTTGCTTGTCCAACACATTATACTGTACTTTACAATAACAGTGTCACTCTGTACCTCTACTTTTGACTGCTTGTCCAGCACATTATACTGTACTTTACAATAACAGTGTCACTCTGTACCTCTACTTTTGACTGCTTGTTCAACACATTATACTGTACTTTATAATAACAGTGTCACTCTGTACCTCTACTTTTGACTGCTTGTGAAGTCATTTACTGTTTTAGCATTTCATTACTGATATATATAATGTTTAGCTTTTGTCTAAAATTGTGATGTTAACATTTCTTGTATTTTTAGCTGTAATTTTTTTATAGTTCTCTTAGTACCTTGTGTGATATTTTTAGTATCTTCAATAAAATCAAAAATACTTCTAGAACAAACTGGTAACTAGCCTATGTAATTTAACGTATATTTTTATAATAAAAAAAATGTCTCCAACTAATTCAAAATAAAAATGTTTCTTTCTAAAAAATAGTGGTAGAATCTGAGCTATCATGGGATTGGTTCTGTTGATTGGGGTCACACAGAAACTTGAACACAACAAATCTTATAAGCTGTTGTGGTACATGGTTCTTCATTGGTTAACCAGTCTCTCTCGATTTGTTCTGTTGATTGGGGTCACACACAAACTTGAACACAACAAATCTTATAAGCTGTTGTGGTACATGGTTCTTCATTGGTTAACCAGTCTCTCTCGATTTGTTCTGTTGATTGGGGTCACACACAAACTTGAACACAACAAATCTTGTATGCTGTTGTGGTACATGGTTCTTCATTGGTTAACCAGTCTCTCTCAATTTTTTTCTGTTGATTGGGGTCACATACAAACTTGAACACAACAAATCTTATATGCTGTTGTGGTACATGGTTCTTCATTGGTTAACCAGTCTCTCTCTGTCTACTATGGACTGATAACAGCCAGTTCTGTTTATAAGCATGAATTATACTGTTTGAAATATGAACAGCATTACAGAGAAAATCTTATAATTTAATATACAAATTGAAAATCTGTCTCTGATATTGTAAAAAAAAATTTTTATATGTGAAAGGTTTGAAATAAACATGTAAATTATGTGGACACAGTAGTCTGAGGCCATTTTGCTTAAAAGGGTGTTAATAAAATGATGTTACAATCCTCTAGTAATACTGAAATTTTACAAGCTGTCACTTCATACAATGGTAGTTATGTTCACATGTCTCAATATATATATTTTTTCCATAGTGTCGGTACACACTTCAGTACACCTATCCATATGCTTATTACCTAGAGGCAGGTCCTCGAAAAGAACTGGTAAGTAATTAATAATCTTGTTTCTGAGCCTAATCCATCAGATTTCTTCCAGAAGTATTAATGTGTATCTTTAGTAAGAAATAAGTGAACTTTTCTTCCAGAATCAGATTTCATCATTTTTATATGGTATCAGAAACAAGGGTTCGTGGTTCATATCAGTTACTTTGGGCCTATTTATGTGTTATAAAAGTGATGGTCAAATCCCACTATTTGACCACACAATAGTAGTCCAAGAGTTATTTGTGGTTGCTGTTGACTGGCTACATTTAAAATGTGCAGATAGCCCTTGTGTAGCTTTGCATAAAATATTAAATGAAACAAGTAGCAACAAATGGTACGAGGATTATTATCAAACTTTTCATTTTAAGAAAGATGGTTGTATTCATGAAACTAGTAAAATATTTAAATGAACTTTGGTGTAATACTTTACTATACTATAGAAGTTTGTTCATCATGTTATTTATATTACCCACCCTTCATCATTCTTGCAGTTTGAATATCAACAAGCCCAGTTAGAAGCAGAAATAGAAAATCTTTCGTGGAAAATAGAAAGAGCAGAAACAACAGATAGGGGGGTATGTACATCATGATGTGAAAATATCTATTATTATTATCTCCAAACAGACGGTCCCATTAGTAGTTTTAGTAATTTGAATGTTAATTATCAAATAAAGTAGATGAAGAGGCATTTCCAGTAATATAAAAAGTGTAAATATTAGATAAGAAAAAGTTAGTGATTCTTTAAGAGAGCCAAAACATTTTGTATACCGAATTTTTTGTTTGTAAAAGGGGATGGGACGATTTCATACATACATACACACACACACACACACACACATATATATATGTAACATGGTTCTTAGATATTCCAACATTAGCCCAACATCAGTGATTCTTTAAGAGAGCCAAATCTAGATTTTTTTCACTTTGTAACATTTTATATACTGAATTTTTCATTTGTAAAAGGGGAGGGGACGATTTCATATACATATTTAACATGGTTCTTGAATATTCCAACATAGTCCACTAATACAAATAGTACTAACTTATTTCAGCTTTTTTGTATCATTACAGTAATTCACTCAGCCATACCTTTGGTCAACAATTTTTTAAAAAGTATACTGAACCTGTGTGAGCAAACAGTTGCAGAACAGTGCTATACCTTTAAGCAATCATTTAAACTTACCCAGCCCTACCCTACAATCACATAAATCTATCTAGCACTACCTTACCTAAAGCTAAACTAAGCCTAATCAGGCCCTACCCTACAATCACATAAATCTATCCAGCTCCAGCACTACTTTACCTAAATCTAAACTAAGCCTAATCAGCACTAATAAATCTCTGTGTAATATTGTAAATTAATCTCTCTTTGTATCTTTATTTATGTAGCAAATTATTCTCTTAACTCTCTCAGCATGGGCTTGATTCCACCGACCGACCTCGTAACCATTAGTGCTTGTTATAGTTTTTATGCAATAACTTTTTAATGCAGTATGTATATCTTTATGAACTTTTGCAGATTATCAGTAAACTTTACAAGGCTGTCTGTCCTATGCACAATATCAGATTTTTTAAGGTTTGTTTTTCTGCCTTTTTTTTCTTTATGAATGTTGACTATCCAACATGCAAGATAATTTTGATACTTTTATGCATCAGAAAGTTTTCAAATTTCACATGTGAAATCTTTATAACCTCCAGATAATTAACAAACTTTATATTTTATCTGTTATTTTCACTACTGAATCTCTGTACAGGTTTGGTCGACTTGACCGACCTCGTAACCATCATACAAAATTAGGAAATAAATATAAATTATGCTCTTTGCATTCTAGAAGGACTACAAATTATAACACAAAAACACGAATATTTAAGCTAAATAGCTTAAATATCATAAAATTATATATTTATTATTTTTATTGACCTTTCAGCCATGCCTAGCTTACAATACAGAAGTTGCAATGAAGTGGTGTACGTGCACTTATGCTACTGTATCCAAGAATATAAAACTGGCCTTTACAAAGTTATCAGTATTTTGTAAAATACAATCACATTAACACTATTTATAAATAAGTTCTTAAATTTTGGTTATTTTTCTTGAAACACAGAACACAAAATAAAGAAGTATAACAAACATTTATCTCTTCTAGTTACAAACTTTGTAATTGTTTGCTGCTTGCCGTAGGTTGCTAAGCCTTATCAACTGTTGCATATGGAGGATGAGAAACAAAGTAATTTTTTTCAGGTTTTATATGTACATTTTGATACAACCAAAAATCATAAATTACAAAATCAATACCACAGAATTCCACTATAATATATTAGGCTTAGCAACTAAGCTGTATTTGGGTCTAAAAAAATATGAAATTTGGATCTCACTAATGTCTTACCTTACTGCTTGGAATCTAGCATGAAAAGAATGACTTTGCTGCCTAAGTACTTCAAAAAAGACTGAGAAAGCCAGTAGGGGGGCATTCTGAGCTTTTGATTGGTTATACACACATCATTGGGCAATGTAAGCAAGTATTTTCAAAAATTGAAGAGGTGGGCAGGGCCACCTTGGTTCATTCAATAAATATATTAATATCTCTGAAAACAGAAAAGATAGGAGGTTCTTATTTTATATTCTAGCTTATCAGTATTGGTAATTTGAGTTGCTGCATTCAACATACCACGTGACACACAAAAATCAATATTTTGGTGTTTTTTTATATATTTACTTTTAAATTAAGAACTTAACTAATGTATAATACTTAAATTATAATCTACAATTTGATACCAAACTTATTGACATACATTCATAAAATAGTAGTTCAATAAAATTTTGAATGCGAATCAACAAACGTGATGACATGGCCTTTGACCTGTGTTGATAGGGTTAATTCACAGTAATCAACTAAATAGTGAATAAATGTAAATACAAGTCACAAAAAAATAAAAATAAAATTTTTTTTTTTACTTTTCAATTGTAATTAGCCCTACAAAACGTTTCACCTGTTTAGCATTTATAAACACTATAGCGCAGCCTGACTTGTCTTGTTTTATAACCTATCTAGTGAAAAACTTTGTGGGTAACATATCGTTCAGAAGTAAAACTGAACAACAAAAATGTAGAACTTTTTTGATATATGAAAAGCAGAAAATGTATGAGAAAATTTTACAAAACTTTATACTGAATGAAATACATTTTAATTGAACATAAATATATTCTAACTAAATGGGTTTCTATGATTAAGCTGTATCAAGTAAAAAGGAAGACATAAGCCAAAGCATTGGTCAGTTAAGATAAAGTACTAAATATACAAATGTTGGTAAAGAGTAGTTATTCTAAAGATCAGATCTTTGTTTAGAAATTAGTATTGTTCTACAATTTGTGTGTTTTTAAACTTTTATCTAGTTGTAGCTTTATCTTTTTCACAGGATTTAGAAAATCAAATGGATATAGCAGAAAAGAGGAGAGCAACTTTATTGAAGGACTTCTTATCTGTCTGATAGTTCTTTCACTTCAGTTTTAGGTGGATTTTTTCTAGCAAGTATTTTTGTAGTAGATTTTTTCTCACGTCTCACATTTTGGTGAGACTGCTCATTATTCATTCAATGCTTGTACAGGATGAGACAAAACTTTTGCACTATTGGACAGCTGTTTAGTAAAAAAAAAGTCCTTTAAGTAAAGCATGTTGTGTCTTATTAAAGTCAAAACACTACTAAAAATACTATCGAGTTATTAGTGTCTTTACCTTTAAGGATGTTATCCTTAAAACACTGTTTCTTATTGATTTATAGGAGAGGTAATTTATTTTATAATTTATATATTCTTGAAAAACATCTGGTAAACAGAAAACATTTAAATCGGTTTATAATGCTGTAAAAAAAAAGTTAAAATACAGTATGATTATCTTAATTTTTTTATAAATTATAATTGAAACTGCAGTTGTATCCCATCTGCTTGTAAAATAATCATATAAAAATTCAGATTAAACAAATCTATGTAAGTAACAGAAGAGCTGATAAGCTGCGATTGTTTTAAAATGTTGTTTATCATGAAATAATTCATGCAAGTATTCGCTATACTTTGCTGGTGAAGAAGAAATGGAATTAACAAAACTGACTAACTAACCATTAGCTCCAGATCTAATAGTACCCCTTATCTTATTCACAATAAACATGTATATAAACTCTTAGCTGAATGGTGAACATTGGGTATACATTTTGACAATATCAGAAACAGTCAATTACTTCTAAAGTACATATACATAGAAGAATAGACTTTTCTATATCTTACTGAAAAACAACATATATCAATTTGACAGTCATTTTAATTTAAGGATTTTTTTTTTTAATTTTAGAACACAACCAACACAAGTTAAATCACTCTGTCCTTGCAACATGTAATTTACAAGTTTTTTTTTCTTTCTTATCAACACTGCTAAGATATAGATTGTTTACATTTTAAGAACAAGAAACAGTTGCTAAGTGTAGTAAAGGGTTGGCCTAAATTGAGGGAACCATTAATGTTAACATCAGAGGAAAAGCTGCATTAATAACAACCTACGTGCATTTTTTAAATGGAAATTAAAAAAAAAATAAATGGGCTAAAAAATTGTAAGTACCACAGAAGAACACATTAGGGCTCTTACTAACCTCCATTAAGTAGTTATTAGGTTAAATTCTTGTTTAATAACATGAGAAATTAATCTTTCTTTTCCTGGTACGTACACAATTCAGGTAGTGTAAAACTTGGGATATTGTAACATAAAAAAATTGCTCTGAAACTATTAATTCAGAAAAAGAGTATTCCAGTTACATATTGGGAACATAAATCATGCATTACCAGTTGAACATGTACTTGGTAAAGTACACCATTTTTGTTTGTGTGTGTTTATAACAATTTGTCACAAAATTGTCTTACTTTTTATTTTATCAACTTTTCTAATTGTTAGTACTGTTTTTACTCATTTTTTTAATAAGAAATGCCTCAAGAAAACTTGTATTGGTTCTCTAATATAAGATTACATTTTTTCTGCTCTCTAGCTTTAGATGTGTTGTTTTTATTACATTCACCCTATTAATACAAGTTTTCAATATAAATGTGTAATTGGACCTTGCTGTCGGCCATTGTCAACTTCATAAGTTGTTCCGTGGTAGTCTGTACTGCTAACTCAAAATGTAACAGCCAATGAAGTTTTTGTCTCATCTTGTAACATTTTGTGTACATTTGTTGTATATTTTCTGGAGGAGGACAAAGCAATCTTTGGATAATGTTCTTACAGTGGTATCTCTCAAGAACTTTAAAGGAAAAAAAAAATTGTAAAGTTGTACAAAACATCTTTAGTTCATAATTCAAATCATCCATGTACAATATCTTTTCTCCAATCTGCCAATAGACTCAATAAGAATAAAACTGCTCTTAAAATAATGTGTACAACTTTATTCTTCATAGTATTTCAGAAAGTATTTACACAATAGCAGTTAAAAAAAAAGAAAATTACAATTATGTCATATAATGCAACCTTATCTGTTCTTACTTCTCCTTACTACGGTCCATCCTTCTTCCAATGGGGTCTCGGAGTCTGGAGTTGACTCTGTTGGAGCATCGTTAGTCGTGTGTTCCAGACTGAGGTTTTGCATTTGTTCTGTGACACACTGAGAACTATTGGTTCCAGTCTATGAAAGTCAAAGTTAAAAAGTTTTACTTTCAGAAAATCTGAACAAGATCCCCGATTCTCAAATTATTCACATTAATACTCAAACTAGAAAAAACAACAACTACCTATTGCCAGGTTATTAGACATCATTAGGTACAAATGCATACTATATACTTCATGATTGTCACTAGTGGAGGGTAAATTCAAATGATTTTTCAGTTTTGCAGCCAACTGTCTTTGACTGATGTGAATTCATAAGCATTTGAACAATGAAACTTGCCCATTTACAAAATTCCACACAGGATAAACCATGGACTGTTTTACTAGTTAAATTTACTGTAATGAAACTGATAAATTATTCCAGTTAGTAAAATGTTTAATGTTCTAACATTTGTCATACACTAAGTTATTAGAATACTTTTAAGTATGAACTTTTGTTTCTTTTTTTTTAAGTTATTTAGATATTATATGTATTCTTTTGACTACCTTGAAATACTTGGCAGTCAACAACAAACCGTTTTATACTAGAAAGTTCTTTACGATTACTTTGAAAATCACCCCATTCTTAATATATGTTTCTTGTGAGAAATTTCATTCAGTACGTTTTCTTGTAGTTTTAGAGTTTGGTACCATGTTACTTCAGATACTACCTTAGAATCAATGACCCGTGTAGTATATCATGTTACTTCAGATACTACCTTAGAATCAGTGACCCGTGTAATATACCATGTTACTTCAGATACTACCTTAGAATCACCAACCCGTGTAGTATACCATGTTACTTCAGATACTACCTTAGAATCACCAACCCGTGTAGTATACCATGTTACTTCAGATACTACCTTAGAATCACCAACCCGTGTAGTATACCATGTTACTTCAGATACTACCTTAGAATCACCAACCCGTGTAGTATACCATGTTACTTCAGATACTACCTTAGAATCACCAACCTGTGTAGTATACCATGTTACTTAAGATGCTAACTTAGAATCACTAACCCGTGTAGTACACGATTTTGGAAGATTCTCCAAAACGAGAGATTCGTGACCTTCTTGACACCATCGATGGAACTGGCACAGCTTTCTTGATATCTGCAGGTAATCAACAATGAAACTTGATCTAGTGACAGTGTGTAAAGACAAGACAAAATCAACAGTGACACTTGATCTGGTGACAGTGTGTAAAGACAATCAACAATGATACTTGATCTAGTGATACTGTGTAAAGACAATCAACAATGATACTTGATCTAGTGATACTGTGTAAAGACAATCAACAATGATACTTGATCTAGTGATACTGTGTAATGACAAGGTAATCAACAATGATACTTGATCTAGTGATACTGTGTAAAGACAAAATCAACAATGATACTTGATCTAGTGATACTGTGTAAAGACAAGAATCAACAATGACACTTGATCTAGTGATACTGTGTAATGACAAGGACATTATGTACACAAATCGACTATATGAGAGAAGTATTAATACAGCTACAGTGCCTTCACATACCTCTTCTACACTGCCATCATCTGCTATTGTGTCAAATTCATTGTTTAAAATGTCATTGATGAATTCCTCCACTTCATCTGGTTGCAAGTCTACTGTAAACATATATTTTAAAATGTAGTTGGATATCTTTGCAATAAGTACATGTAATCCAGAATTTGTATTTATGCCGTAAATGAAAAAGTAAGATACAGACGTGTTACACACCCATGTTAGTTTCATGTACAGTTAACTGTGGATGAGCCTTTTTCAGTTTAACCTTTCCAGTATTATTTAGCAGCTCTCAGTTGACCACGTTACTAGTTCTTCCATTGTTCTATAACAGTTCCCTTCACTTTTATACACTGGCCACCTTACACTTCTTTAATAACATACACAATACTTGTACAGATTTTATTGTGATATATTTTTTTATGAAACAATTAAATATGCTTACCTTTGTTGTAGATTTTAATTACTTATTTTTATTTTGTAAAACTAAGTTTTAACTTCTTGATTTGAAAAAACCACACATAGTTTTAGTGTTTATGATCACTGGCTTACAATAGAAATAACTTTTATCACACTAAACTTACAACCAACTGTCTTTGTTTTTAAATTGTTAATCAAAAGATTTAATTTAATATAAGTAAATTTTCAAATCTGTATTGCATATTTCTGTGATTTTCTTTGCTCATTTGAGAAGTTATTTAGGCCGGTCAGTCCTAACAACAGCAGCCTAGTCAGGAGAACAAAACTTGATATGGTCGAGCATAAAATCATCTAAGTACCTTATTTTGTTTAACAAAAAACATTCCTTTTTCCTATAATATTGCAATATAATAGTTCATATGAATTTTAAAATGATAAAGTAAGCCTTAAAAATAAAACCAGAATTGCAATTGTGGTAGAAGTTTTCTTGCTAGTAACATATCACAGAGCTAAGCATTTATTACTTTGTTCCAATCTCTGCATGTTTCTCTGGATTATATACTCGAATGGTGATAAAGTTAGCTGTTTCTGGTTAGTGTTGATAAGCTCGGTTACAAGTTCAGACATATCCTAATTTTTAATATCTGTCTATAACAAACAGTCTAAAGTTTCTTTAATTTGGGTTACTTTTCAAATATAAATATCCTGTCCCTTTCACCACTAATAATCGGACAGTTCTACTAGTTTTATGACTTTCAAAGCTGAAATATAGGCAAGTATATCACACCATGACAAATGGGGTTGAGAAACTGACTGGCTAAAATTGATACACCCGTATGGAAGTTACAATATTTGAACTGGCATTATTTTAACTTTTCTCCTAGGGGGCCATGAATGTCATATTATGCTCATAAAATATTCACGAAATTCACTAGCACAAATTTTTTGTTTGAGACAACATGCTGAAAATAAAATTGTATATATGAAATTAAAAACAAAAAAACATTTTTATTAAATAAATGTTAACTCTAAAATATCAAAAAAGATTATATGGTAAAATTACTATAAGTTTATTTTCTATATATTTTTAATCCAGTTTTCGCTGAAGAAATAGGTTTTAGTTTCTTACATTCAGCACTTCGTAAGAAGTAACGTTTAGTTTGTGTCCTGCTTTTCATACATTAATCCTCTGCAGACGTAGAAAAACGACTAAAAATGTTAATTAGTAGAATAAAAAAGTAAATTTTGGTCTTACAATGACTTTTAACCATGTTATAAAAATAGTTTAACTACAAATATGCTACTTAAAAATTTATTTAAATACACGTTTTAAAGAGTGTACATTGATCATTTCCTAATGTTCTCATAGTTTATAGATTACTCTTATCTTATTAATCACCATCGTAGAATCCCCTCGTGTTCAAAATCTCAGCACCGAAAGAGTAATTTACAAAAAAATCCAAGTTAGATAATTTTGTTTGATAGAAACTAATGTAACCCTTGAATAATTTCCCAAGGTGGAATTGTTTAAGCTGTGTATAAACACATGTACATAACTCCTGGGCTACGGGGAAGGAAGAAGTACAAGCTGAAAAACAGGCTACACATTTAACGAGTATAAAGTAGCCGAAGATATTTAATTTTGAAACGAACAATCTGGGAATACATTCATTTGTAACACAAGTCTTGTTGATTTTATTCCTTGTTCTTCTGAATAAATTCCAGTCAGAAAAAAAGAAAATGTTGCATTTTATAAATTAAAGGTCATAATGAATTCTGCATTTAGCGACTTGTGAAGTTTGTAATTAATGCTGGACAATTAACTTGATTGTCAGGTGAAATAATCAAAATTATGATTAAATCAATTAATATCACAAAAAACAATCAACTAATGAAAATTATTCCAACTATACAAGTAATTTAAACATTGATAATATTTTTGACTGATTCAAAGTTGTTCAGCTTATCGATTAATTCCACAATAAAAATAATAAACTAATTAATATTAATGTTTCTGAATATTTCTATTTTCAGTTAATTCCAACTTTCCAAGGCTTATGTGAGAGTAATTAGTTAAATGTGATCAATTAATGAGCTCAATAATTAATCATTTGGGAATTTCCACTAACTGCTTTGCTCTATTTGTAACGCACACACTAGTTTGAGATCTTACCTAAGATATTTAATTCACTGTAGTCTAATCCAGTGGTTCCCAACATTACGCAGTATACCCCCAGTTAGGCCTTTGAGCCATCAGTACACCCTTGGTAATATGTGTTGAATAAAAAAAGACCTTAAAGAACAGTTTATATTAATAAAAAGGTCAATCAAAACAAATAATTCAAGAGTGAGTTAACAGTAAATGAGAGTTGTGTGCTGGCTAGTGGAATATAATGGTAACTTCTAAAAACTGCCCTTCAATTTTCAGGTGTGGGGTTTGTTTTCAAAGGTTCTCACGAGCTCCAGGTGCACATATACCACAGATTGGGGACCACTGCTTACTTAATGCACATCCTTGTAACTACTAGTAACAGACAAAATAAATATGGAGTAATAATTACCATTATCATGAAAGTATTGAACGGCAGCATCAGCAAGCCATCTTTCTTTTTCTCTAGCATAAGGTCCTCCCATCCCATGTTGAATAGCAAGCTAAAAATTTGGGAGAAGAAACAATTACAATCACACAAAACTTAGTTTATCTATGTTCAAACTAATAAACCATACATGCCTGCAAAGTACTATTTTTAAAAATCAAGTGCTGAAAACAAGAATTTAAAAGTTTTCGAGTGCATCTTTCAGAAAACTGTTGGAAATAACATGTTAAAATATTAGGAATTTTGATCACTTATGTATTATTTTAACTGTCATTACATACGTAAAATTATTTTCAACAAGCAAATACCCCCAGTTAACAAAATTCTAGGCCCCATCAGGTTTCTAAATTGTTGATGCATCGTATTGGTTGTGGGTTGATGAATTTGTTAGATACATAAGAGTCACACAAAGGAATATAAGGAAACAAAAAAATATCATCAATATTACAATTAACTTGTCAATTACTGCTGCAGTTTGGTTGTATTTTTTACATTGAAAGAAAAGATTTCACTCATTTTTTGGTCAGTTTTTTAGTGTTTTAACAGGCAAAAAAAAAAAATGATGCAATACATGGTCCCCAATGGTACTGAGTAGGTAAACAAGCTAGTGATTTACAGGTTAATTTCACCTTTAGTGTAAAGAGATCAAAGCATAGAAAAACACGTAAAAAAATTTAACAAATGACGACAGATGCCCATACATATTCAAACAAGTGATCTAAATTAGATTGACATGTAACGATTGTGTAGGAATAAAACAACAGAAATATTAATCTATTTTGCAACAACTCCGTTAAACAGTGATTTGTCACCAGAAAGTTGTTTCTGTGACCCTTACTTAGTTATCTGATAAAATGCTTAAAAAAGAAAGCATGATAATATTAATAACGTCCCCAAAATGAGCAAGGTGACAGGCGTTTCGACCTTGTCTAAAACATCAAATCAAACTGATTAAACTCTTTTACCAAAACTCGAAGTTTATTTTTAATTTCTATTCACTAATACCGATACTATTAATTATTAGTTTTCATATAACAAGTACATTTCTTCAGAAAACAAGTAATTTCCCTAATATACAATTTTAAACTAATTAATGGCTCTTATAATGTTATTATTAACAGTTAATGTAATACTAATAGTATTACGTTTCTGCCCTAAGACTAAGTAATAAGGCTAGGTCTCTAGTACAGACAGAACTAAAGGCTACCTAAAATTGAATATTTCATATTCATAAAGAACCAATATAATCTGAAAAACACAAAGTCTAAAATTGTCCTATAATCCCAAAAACTTCTGAAATACGTACTTGAAGAGCCGTCCAATTAGTAAAAATCGTTCGAACAGCAGCGTGGAACACGCTCTCACTTGCCATTTTGGCGTGAAGCGACATCTTATGACTGCTTGATAAAATATATATTAATGAATCTAAAATAAAACTCTAATTCAAATAATTGATGAGTTGTTACTTTCTAAAAATCATTGTAGCTCTAAAAATTTGAAAAGGCGTGTTACGTTTCACCATGGATACTTCTGTATGTGAGGTTGCGATTTCTTTTTAGTTGTTATTATTGTTTTGTTTGTAGTTTGTGTAATTTTCTTTTCAAATTTTATTTTAGCTATAATTTGAGTCGCCTTAAAAACGTTAGTTCACCTGACTTGTAGTGTATATTAAATCACCCATTTTATATTAAGAAACCGACATGAGATTCACCTAGCGGTTACGTATGGATACTAAGTTATTGTATTATTATGTAAAACAAACACTAATTTGTTAGTCATATGATATATATATTGTTACGTCTCTGTATGTTTGCTTGTTAATTCTTACAAGATACAAGTCCTTTCTTTATAAAACTCGTTTATTCTTCCTCAATACAACTTTGTAATGTACTTAATTTTCACAGTTACACACACTATAGTTCACAACAATTCACTCACTTTCTATCGCGCTTAGACTTAATTGTCCGTCCCCACAAACTATAGTTCCAATAATGGCTGGAGACGGCTTAAATGGGTAATACAGAGTTCCGATCTCTGTATCTGCTATCCTCAGTTCCCGCTGACCGTAACCGCTGTCTTTCTTTCTCTCTCTCTGCCTGCTACGTCTCTGTCTCCACTATTGCTTCGACTCCGTCTGTCTCTCTCACTGTCTAGCGCACTTATATACGATAATACTGCCTGTTCTAGAAACTTCTAAGACTCTCAACACGTGTTACCAGCGTCAGTTGACGCAACGCTGTCGCAACACACTAGCAAATCTTCTAGAATACTCGTCACGTGACCCCGCTGTCGTAATGCACTAGCGAATCTTCTAGAATACTCGTCACGTGATCCCTCCCCCCCCCCACTATCGTAACAATATTCACGGGGCCTAACAATAAAATTTAAGCGACGTCTGCTCTGAATATAAGTGGGCTGACTTTAGAAATCACATATTTATTTATTTCTTATTTGGTTTCCACATTAGAAGTGTTTGAATTATCTAGCTATCACTTCACTGGAGATGGTCAACATAATTTGTTGTTACTATATCGTATTTTAGTACGTTTGAAGTAAGATTGTGGTTATTGGCTTTATAATACTGTCAAATATTGTATTCTTCGTAAATTTGACGTTATTCAACATGATACATTACGTATCTGTTTAGCAGCCATGTATTGTAATCCATCCTCTATTATACATACTTTGGCTAATGAAGTTCTTATGAACCTTCATAGATGACGCTGCTCTGGAAGGTATAGCACTGTATTGCCACAGTGTGCCAAGTGTAGATTACAGACGTTCCTTGATAGTTTCACTTGCCTTAATAACTCCAAATGAAACTTTTTACCGTGTCTCTTTCTTTAGTCTGAACAGAGGTTCTTGCTTCACTTTTTTTGGCGGAGGGGGGGGGCAATAGTATTCACCACTTTCCACTGGAAACACAAGGCTTATCGAAATTTCTGCCTTTATGGCTTCTCGACAAAGCCAATGTGGACCTCTCCTTTACAGAATTACATGACTAAGTAATTGTTTAGTTTATATATCTGAGTTCCATGACTATTTACATATACACATGGCTGGTTCTTGTGAATCTTCTGGTAACAAAACTGCGTGTGCTCTATGATTATTATTACTTACATTCAAATCTTGAATGTTTAATTGTCTTTTTTCTGCCAGACTTCAGTGGTAGTTTTGCTGCAGAGCTTTTAGTTTATCCAGACTGGAAGCTTCAACATCTTTCATTGCTCATTATTTTTATTTACTCTTTACTTGAAATCCGGATGTTTACACTGGATTAGTTTGAAGATGTCGCATTTTTTACAACAACCTTATTCGGAATGGTGTACAAATTTACTGTTTGTGGATTATTAGTCACTGTGGCATGTCTGGGAATAAACTTGCAGATAAGGCAATATTTTGTTTCGATACTCCTTCTGTGATGTTTCCCCTATGTATATTTATTGTCAGAATTTATTTGAAGGATTTCTTTCCTGGTGGTCTGAGCTCTAATCGAATTCAGTTGCGGAACGTCATATGTAATATTACATACTAGCAGAAACCCATATTTGGGGGTCTGTGGTGAGAAGACAACTAATCTGCATGATAAACAATTTTGAAAACATCGTAATGTTAACTGCATCTTATGATTTCTATTTCCATAACATGACCATTTAACTGCCCTTGAACCCAATATGAATTTCAGAACAGCCACAAATGACTAGGTGGTTGAGGAGACCTGATTCAGTTGGGCAGTTAACCGCATAGTCTATTTAGATTATCGCAAGATCGCCAGTATCATCATCGGTGCCACTGGACGTAATTATTTTACTTAGTTAGAGGTGTGGGAAGGCATTATTGTGTTTTCTAGACAATAATTCGTCACTTGACAATATACAGTACTGAAAATAGTTATGGAAATGACGAATAACATGGGTATAAAATGTAAATGTTATGGGATTATTGTAGGAAAATCAATTGCACCAAATAACAGTCACTGGGTGATTGTTTACACTGAGATTAACTGTTATTTAATCAATCGATGTCACACCAAAACAATGTGTATAAAATTATGGGCAATAATCATCATGTCTCTGCTAGTAGTGTAGCAAATGCATCCATGGTCATAGGATAGAAATGCAACATGAAAAGCGTGTAGAAATCAGTTTTGGCTGGTCAAATTAGTATTGTTTATAATAGTAGCGAGACAGAAACCTGAAACTTCAAAAGTGTTATTAAGTAACTCATGGTATGCTTTTTGTGTGATACACAACAATCCAGTAGAGATATTGCCATTGACCTGGCTGTAAGCACAGTATGAATGTTGCCTCCAGAATTGTAAATTACACATTGGCGCAAAGTGGCATTAGTGGATGTGAATATTCAAACTAAAAGACTGAAATGAACATCAGACTTCAAATAACGGGATGAGCAATGATGAAGAAAGGTGCTATTTAAAGATGATTCTCAAATTCAGAAGTTTTCTCAATGGCAGAGGGAAACGTCATCATGGCTATACAACATCTTCAATGAAGTATGCTGGGAAATATGGCTGCATCTCGGCCAATGATGTATGCTGGGAAACCAACACAAATATGGGCTGCATCTCGGCCAATGATGCTTAAGAACTACATAAAATTCATTGAACACTTTACTGTTGAAATGTACATACAGTTTTTATCCATCATGCCATTTCCTTAGGAACAAGGCTTGTTGAACAGCAATTCATCTTCCAGCAACACTGATACCAAGCATGCACCAAATATGGTGAAATGATACCTGGTTGTAAAAGAGACCGATAGAACACACGCAACCATGATTTTGCCTGCACAAAGTCAGATATGAACATTGGCTCTATAGCTCGTATGGAAACGGAGGTGGTCAAATGGCTGATCTTTAAATAAAAATATTACTGCATTATGGAGCTTATCGATTTTTGTTTTGTATTTTCTATGATAATTGACAGTACTAATAATAAATTGACTATTTAATTGCAATTATTCATTGCTTATTACTCCTGTGTGTATCAGTTCAGCGTGCATTTCCAATACTGTTTATAAAAATGAACCAGGCGTAGTCAGGTTCTGTAAGATTACAATTGGTCCAGAGGTAAAATAATCGGTGTTATATAGTATGGTAACTATTTTGAAGAAGAAATTACTGATCATGGACTGGCCGGAAAGATGTCTTGATTAAATCTTGTAAAACATCTGTGGAATATCGTCGGACGCACACCCTTTAACTCATCATGCTCTGTTTTATATTTTGGTATTGCAGTAAATGTGGGTTGTGATATAACCCCTTAAAACCTCCCTCCCCCATAAGGTTGTTCAACATTAGAAATAAGTTTTCTACGTAAAGGATAATCCATCTTCTTTTTTTTATTCTTGTCTAAATAGAAAGCTACACAATGGGCTATATTTACTCTGCCCACTACGGTTATAGAAACCTGATTTTTAGAGTGATAAGCTTTCAGATTGCCGCTGAGCCCTAGCGGTGCTATTCTTTAGGTCAAAAATAACTTTATAAAGATGTTTTTCTCTCTCTAGAGATCACGTCTTTGTTTTACATTCTTCAACGTGAACATTGTTGTCAAAGTAGAAAAAAATGAGCTTCCTACAGTTAAGTTAGCGTGTTTATAACATCGATAACAACATACTTGGTAATCTACGTCCTTTAGGGTCAACACATAATCTACGTCCTTTCCCTTTCAACACATAGTTGCGGACTTACAACGCTAGAAACCCATGGCGGGCAAAGCACATTGTGTAGCTTTGTGCTTAACTTCAAACATACAAATTCAATACACATTCGTATAGGCATGTGAGAACAGAGGTAAAAGAAGGTAAATTTTGTATTCGTACGCCGTATATGAGATATGTTTTTTATTTTTATTCATATTGTTTATCGCGAACAGTAAATTTGTTAAGTACTCATGATAAAAAAAACTTGTTACCTTTCTAAACAAATAAATATACAAAAAAAGCTGGTTATTCGCAATAGTTATTTTAATGTCAAGTATAATTATTTGTGTCTCGTGTTAATATATTATGCTGATCAATGTGACATTGCTATTTTCGGACTTTTTTGTTATGTATTTCCCCCAGAGAGTTTGTTTGTTTTTCAGAGAAAAGCCACATTGGCCTACCTGCTGTTACACCACAGGGAATCGAGCTCCAGATTTTAGCGTTGTACGTTCGTAAAATTAACGCTGTCCCATCCGGGGAACCCTTTCCAAAGGATCAGCGGTAAGTTTACGGATTTGCACCGGTAAAATGTACAGTTTAATTCTCCTGGTGTACAGAGCACAGATGGCCCATTCTGCTAAGACAAATATATTGTTTTATATTTCATTGTTCATTTTAATAAAATGTTTACACTCTCTGTAATAGAAGTAAGATACTACTATACAGGGGAAAGTT